ATAGCAGAGCTAAGTGAGGCCTGGTACTGTGTGAGTCTGCCCCAGGACTGGGAATGAGGCTCCCAGTGGAGCCTGGTGAGGGGTCTGGAGCACAAGTCTTATGAGGAGCGGCTGAGGGAGCTGGGATTGTTCAGTGTGGAGAAGAGGAGGCTCAGGGGAGACCTCATTGCACTGTACAACTTCCTGAAGGGAGGTTGTGGTGCAAAAGGGTCTGGCCTCTTCTCCCAGGCAAATATTAGGACCCGAGGAAACGGCCAGAAGTTGTACCAGAGGAGGTTTAGGTTGGATATTAGGAGAAACTTTTTCTCTCAAAGGATGGTCGGGCACTGGAATGGCCTGCCTGGGGAGGTGGTGGAGTCACCGTTCCTGGTAGTGTTCAAGAGGCGCCTGGATGAGGAGCTACGAGAGATGGTTTAGTGCTTGTGGTACTAATAGGAATGGGAGGGTGGTTGGACTAGATGATCTTGCAGGTCGTTTCCAACCTTGTGATTCTGTGTGATTCAGTGCCAGCCTTGCACTGTGCAGTCTCCTTGGGCTGATTATTTTCAGTAATTTTGAAGCTGACATTCTTTAAATGTGGTATTCAAACGTGTTTTATGTCAAATTTGAAATACAAACTAAATCACTAATGTTGTGGCATCTGCTGTCTTACCAGTACTCCCAGGGTCTTTAAGTAGGAATGATGATAAGGTAGTAGTCAGATACTGGCGTTCAGTGCAATAAAGACCATGGCAGTGTAAATGTGGGGGTAAGGTTTATTAAACAAAAGCACAGTATATTCCTAGTTTGATTCACAGACAGTGCTGTACATCTTAATTATGAAATGAAAATAGTTTAAATGTAGATGGTCTATTTCCACTTCATGAACTTTCAGCCTGAGATACAGGATTTCCAAAATAAGCTGGGTCCCTGTGTATGTCAGTATATATTTGAGACACATGCAAATTGAATTGGTATAGAAATAACTAGGAATGGTAACCCAATTCAGAAACTGGGTAGTAGTTTATTGGCAGTGTGATTTTGCTTGAGGGTCTGCAGCCCTGTGGACACTCCAGGTGCAAGGCATGGAGGCCTGCCTCCACAGAAGTGTTTGTTGCTCACTGCAAGTTCTGGGAAGTGATTTCCTAGCAGCTTTGTCCTACCTATGGACTCCCTTTGTCAAGGTGCTTTTCCAGAAGCAGTGGTTTGGCACACAGGAAAGCAAGAGATGGAGTGAGCAGTCCTTGTGGTTGCCCTTGTGTGCCAGAGGAGGGATGGTGCGGGAGCGGCCTCAGCGGGAGGCATTTCCATCACTGGTCCGTCCTGTCAGGAGCAAGCTGGTGGGAGCAGTCCAAGCTATTCTGGGAAAATACTGCTTTTGTCAGTAACCTGCAACAAAAAAGTAATAATAATTTCAGTGCAGCACCAAAAAGATCAGTTTAGACTTGAAAACAGAAGTGTGCTTCTAACCTTATATGCCTTTGCCAATCTTAGAAGAATGGCTAATGTTATTTTTGATGTTAGTGCTTGCCAAGTTGCCTTTTTGTACCCCTGGCCCAGGGTGAACTTGCGGTATTAACGTATAAATACTGTTGGAGCTGAGTCCAGATAGCTGTGAATGTGGCTGGGGGGGGGAGGACCCCGTGGTGTAACTGGATCTGCAGAGCTGAGGGATTGCTGCAGCCTTTGGCAGGATGTCAGACAAGCCCTTCGTTCTCCTGGGTGAGGTGCAGTGCTGCAGCGGTGCTCAGGTCCCACACAGTGTGTTGGGAGTGTTACTGGGAATCGTTCCTGCTCATAATAAGTTTGGGAATTGGAGTGATGTCTTGAGTACGTGTATTCCTGATGAGCCTTACCAAGTAAGGTGCTTATCAACTGCAACTTGCAAAATAATCCAAAAACAGCATGGTGACCAGTGACTCTTTCACTTTGCTACGGATCTGTTTAGGGCGGAGTACCTAAATCTGCAATATGAGTGCTGTATTAAAGTAAAATTTATTTGATTATGTTTGGTTTTTTTTGGTAATGTATTTGATACTGTTTGGTTGTTATGTGATCATCATAGGTCGCTTTCGTTCACAAGTGGCATCTTGTTGATGTGGACATTTTTGCTCTGCTGTTAGTGAGAAGGTATTCATCCCCTGTCTGTGTGAGAGACTACAGCTGCAGAAACATCAGATGTTCTGACTTGAAAATGCATTGAAACTTCTGAAAGATTGGCAATGGCACGAATGCTTTAACATGTCACGTGTGGAATTTCTGTTTTCAGAGTCAAGTTATGTTTGTATTCTGGATATGTTACTAAAACTTACTAAAACAATCAGAACAAAAGCTAACAGTTGATGCTGGTATGAGCTTTGCCTAGGGTGCTGTCAGGCTGTGCAGAGGCTGAAGGATAAGCATGTCAGAAGGCAGTCTGAAAGATTCTGGGGAATTTGTTGTTCTGATGTGTGGTCGTATTTTTGCATCTTTTGGTACATTTTCAAAACGGGAGGGGGTTACATAATGTTCAGCAGTGTAATTGGAAAAGGGGAAAACAAACCAAAATGCAGTGCAGTACAGCTGCTTCTATGGACTTCTCCGCTATGTACAGTGTGCAGTCACTTGTATACATGGTGGTATTTTTCTACCCGTCGGTAGGTCATGTGTGCTGTGGCAGCAGGAATAATATTTCTGGTGCATTGAGGAAGCAGAGTTCCCTGTGTAGTCTTAGGGGAGAATAATGAAATACCTTGAAGTGCTCCTGTAGATAATTGTCAGTTTTTCCCCAAGATATCTTTGCTTCAGACCTTATTCCAGCAGGGAGTCCTTATGTGGGCCAGATGAACTTAATCCACATGTGAATTCTGCAGAGGGGAGTTTTAGTGCAGGGATATGTGTCATGAACCAGCAGTGTGCATGTGCAGCCCTGAAGGCCAATGGTGTCTTGGTTTCCATCAGCAGAGGGGTGGCAGCAGGGAGAGGGACAGGATTGTCCAAGTGTGGGAATCCCCAGCACAGGAAAGATGTGGAGCTGTTGGAGAGAGTCTGGAGGAGGGCCACAGAGATGATCTAGGGGCTGGAGCACCTCTCCTAGAAAGCGATAGGACAAGGGGAAATGGTTTTAAACTAAAGGAAGGGATGATTAGATTAGATGTCGGGGGGCGGGGCGGGAAGTCTAACTGAGAGGGTGCTGAGGTCTTGGAACAGGTTGCTCAGAGAGGTTGTGGTTGCCCTGTCCCTGGAAGTGTTTAAGGCCAGGATGGATGGGGTCCTGGGTAATCTGATCTAGCACCCAGTGTAGTGGCTGACAACCTTGCCTGTGGGAAGAGGGCTGGAACCTGATGATCCTGGGAGATCCCTTCCAACCCAAGCCATTCTGTGGTTTCTGTGATTTCATTCTATGGTTTTTATGATTTTTGCTGTTTATCGTAAGTAGATCTTCTTGCTTTGCAGTAAAAATGTTTATCACTAATTTAGGTTGTTGATTTTTTGCTGTTCTCCCTGTTGGCTCTCAACACTGACCATTCTCTTTGTTTTAAGACTTTCGTGTCTTGTCTGGGATTAATTTAGGAGACTTGCTGCTTAAAGCTGTAGGTCACAGCCTGCTGTCTGACCTTTAATGTTTGTGTGTGGACATACAAGGTACAGTTCCTGTAAGTTAGGCAACATCGTGCAGATGTGGGACTAACAATCTGTTTTCCTGAAAGCTACTCTTACCACCTCCTTTGGTGAATGCAGTTCTCGTTGTATTCACGTGTGACCATTGCACTGCACTGGGCACCTGCTGATTGGGATAATGTTACGGGGCGTTTACATATTAACAAGGGGCAGACATTAACTCAGGTGATCTTGAATAGCAGTGTTACATGCAGCTTTCCAGACTCATGAACACCCTTCTTGTGATGGGGTGTTTTACCGAGCTTGTTGTTGGGCCTGCTTTGATTTTTGAAGCACGAACTGTACATTTCCCAAAGCGTTGTGTGATAGCAGTGAATGTGGTAGTTGCTTACTGCTGATATGGAACAGATAGTGGAAAGAATTAAGGGAAAACAGAGGAAGGAAGATGGGATTGGGATGTGGAGTGAGAACGGACAGCAACATGTATGTCTCATTTCTGATGGATACCAAAGACACCAGTAGCGTTGAATGGATAATTATGGAATGATATCCCTGTTTTGATGTAAAAATATTGCTGAAAATAGAAGGAGTTTTGTCTGCACTTGAGACAGATTCTGAAATGTAGTTCTGTTCTCATTAGAGTATGAGTCAGGTATCCTCCTTGTTTATGCCGGCAAGCTGTCCTAAAACTACATTGTGTTATGTTGAGTAATTCCATGAGCTTGTGTTTGGAGATCACGTGGACTGGCAATGGGACAGCATTATTGCTGCTTCGTTGGAGTACCTGCTTGCTTAATTGTTCTGTGTATCTGATCTGGTCTAGAAAATGTTGATGACTGGGGTAATATTAAGTGCCAGTGTGGAAACAATTGTTCTGGTTTGAATCGTCATTGACTATCTTGTTTGTATTCAAAACAGAAAATCCTTGTGCAGTGTTAGTTGAAATAATATTTTAGAAGGGAACTGAAAGGTATTTTGGGAAATCATTGGGTCCATCCCTGGCTTTCAGAAAGGTTCAGCTGTACTGAAGTCATTACTGGTGGCTGTTTTCTGTAATAACAAAGTGCGTTTCTGCTGACAAAGGTGCCACAGCTCCTTGTGGCAGTCTGTTCTGCTGGTTAACTGTGCAAACATCCATAACATTTATTTTCAGTATTTAATCTGAGTTGGTCTTGCTGTAGTTTCAGCTCTTGTCAGTTATTATTTTTAGGATAAGCTATTTCTCGTGTAGAGTTCTTTATTTTAGCATTTCATCTACCTTTCTAGCGAGTTGACCAAATAACTTCTAAGGTTCTATCTAATAATACTTGAAGCATACAAATTATGATATTACAGTTAAATTCCTTTATATATTTTGTGATTTCTAGATTTGTTATAAAATGTGAAAAATGGTAAAACTGTTTATCTAACTTGTCAAACAGGTTGAATCATTTATTTTGGACCAAGAAGATCTTGATAACCCTGTACTTAAAACCACATCAGAGTTGTTCTTATCGAGCGCTGCAGAAGGTGCGGACTTGAGAGCTGTGGATCCAGAAACGCAAGCAAGACTAGAAGCCTTACTGGAGGCAGCAGGTACTTTATTTGTGCAGTATTTTACTTTTTTTCTGAAAATAACTTGCACACAGGCCTGGCAACCTGTAAATTTTGACCCTAGTGAAGTCCAGAAACTTACTGTGATGATGTGAATATGAGCATAACAATAAGCTCATAATTCTTACAGGCGCTGAGGGTTTCTTGGTTCACTGTTTCTGTATGCATAAGGTTAGAAAGGTTCATTTGAGTGAAGTGGTGTTTCACTGACCAGGTGATATTACATGTGTACCTGAGGGAGGGTTACAGAGGAAAGAGAGAAGGAAAACAGTATCTTTCTTTGTGCTGCTTTGTTCAGTATATAACTATTAACGAATTACTCCAGAAAATTACGGATGAAATAGTAGTTACTGTTTGAATTTCACAAAAATCTGTTTTGATTCTGTAGGCCTGTGATATGGATTTTGAAAAATACAGATTTAATGCTCTTGCTACAGAAACAGACTAGATAAAAGCAGTGACTTACTTACATTTGTTTCTTCTATGGTAGAGCTTGACTAATGAAGTCTTTCCAAATTTTGTGTCACAGATATTTGCAGTGAAATTGGAAGTGACTCGTCTTTCCAAAACTGAAGGACAAAAAGTTGTGAAAACCCTGCTTTGAAACAAATCCCATTTGATCGTTATGCATATATATTCTGAATTTTTTGACCGGTCTTAGGAAATAGAAACAGTAGTATTTGTTTGCAAGTGTTTAGGCATAATGCTGTCTACAGTCTTAAGGAACGTCAGGATGAGGAAACAAAAGAGAGCAAGGGATTTGCTTTGCATTTTGAATGTGAAAAGAATTATATACCTTTTTGTCAGCAGAAAATTGCAACGCCTTAATTAAAGGTGGACCTCTAAAATTAATCAAACTGGGTGTAACTGTTGTGGCTCAAACTTTGCTTTGCAGGGAAGATAGAATATATCTGGGATTTTCTGGACACTCAAGAATATTTGTGTAATGGACCCCTTTTTTCATTTAATGAAAATCAGTCGCAGTTCCTCTCAAGTTCCTCTCAGGTACCTGATGGCTGATGTGTCCTAAAACCTACTGCTAGCTTTATAAATTGTCCATGGAAATAGCTGATGGCTGGTGTAAGCACATACCTCAACTACCCTCACATCTTACTCGAAGGTTAAAATGTTCAAAATGATTTCACATTTTTTGACATACGTGTGTGTGTATGTTTGTGTGTATGTATATACACAATGTATCATTGCTTTTTATTATGTTTGTGAGACTGCTTCCTTTAGGTTTCTAGATAGCAGTTTGTTGCTTGTCCACAGGATTAGATGAATCATTTTTAATCTGGGAGTCCCATGCTTTGATTTCCTATGTGTTTGAGTATTTCCTAATACGCAGATGTGCAGACAGTGGACAGAACAGAAAAGTAAACTTGTTGGAGGGCTTTTTTTGGGCTCCATCTCCTTCTCAAATAGACAGGACAAAATTCATGCCATTTGATCAGTTGATGAGTGTGTGAGGTTGAAAGACCAAAAGCACTCATGAAGAAGTCCACCAGTTAAGGATTTCTTGTCTGTACCACTGTGAATTTGAACACTGAAAATATCTGAACACTAAAAATATTGAAAGAAAACACTGAGGGCTTAGTAGCTTATTGATAAAAGCTGTACATTGAAGGTGACTGGAAAATAAGCTTGTGCTTCTGGGAGATGTTTTAGATGTTTTTGCAGGGGTTTGCACTGATCTGGGTAATTTGGCTGAAAATGCCCTTCCAAGTCTTAAGTAAGGTATTCAGGCACAACAAACCAAACAGCTCACTGGTGTGATTTTGTTTTGCAGTTTGACAGTGAAGGCAATTTCTCTTGTCACTTTAGAGACATTTTAGTCATATTTTATTTTCCTACAGTAAGTATAGCTTGTAAAATAAATAAATAAACAATAATTAAAAAAAAAAAAATGACAGCATTGCTGCTGGAGCAGGTAGTTTAGTTCCAGTTTGTCTGATGTTGTTTCCAGGGTCCTTGGCTTTCATTGCTGTGATTCCTCTCTCCTGTGTGAGGCTTATCCCAACTTGCAACAGGGAGAACAGGTGGTCATGCATATGATGTCTCAGATTTGAGTGTTTTTCAGATGCGGGGTTCATGGCTGTGGCCTTAGGATCTTAATTTTGACTTGCAAAACTAGTTCTGCTTATTCTTCCAGAATTCCTTAATGCTCAGATCTCATGTGAATGTTGATTGTTAATTCTAGGAAGTAAGTAGCAACTGCAGCCAGACGAAATATTCTTTTTCATGTCACTTACACAGGAGTGTGGTGTTTTGTTTTTTTTTTTTCCCCCCCCCAACCATTCCATGCTTCTTACTACAACTTGTGTGTGGTTTTTGTAGCTCTTTTGATTTGAGAACTGATTAGCCTGTGTGTGGAGATGTAGAGGTCTTATTTGGTTGAACTGCCCAAAAGTGTTTCTATATATTGTATTTACCTATCCTAATAGCTTAGTTTATTTCTTTAGTTTCTCTTTTCAAGATGACTTAACTTCTGCAAACACATAATATTTTGAGTGGCAACAGCTTAAACTACAGTTTGTAGTGTGAGAGCTATGTTTAATTCCCCTTTGTTAAAACAAAGCAGCAAATCCGCACTCACACTGGCATGCATGCAGGCAAACAGCAGTTCCTTACATTTGCTAGGACCTCCAAAACCCTGATTCATTAGCTTCAATTTCAACAATGAAGCTTCCTTTCATAGTCTGCTTGAGCAAAGCATAGGCGCTTCGTTAATGAAAATCCACCTTTAAAGATAAATTTTTGAGAAACAAACTTGATGCACTAGCTTTCAATTCTGAATTCTGAGAGAGACCTTACTGTTCTAAAGCTATATGTTTGTTGTTTTCATTTTCAGGAAAAGCAAGTGAATCCAGTTGTGAAGCTCTTCTAAACAAGCCAAGGGTTCTGAGTGTATGCAGTTTTTATTGCTAGTAGCAAGGAAGGGATTTATACCTAGAGTGAACTTATGGAAAGAGATCACTGTTTGGAGATGTTTCAGTTTTTCAGGCTGTTATTAAAGTGATTCTTTGTATTCTGATGCTGGGTTCATGTTCTGAAACATTCAGCTCCACTGCTAATTAGGGCAGTGTTGATCTCTTAAAATAATATTTCAGCTCTAAAAAATAATGCTGCTTTTGCTGACTTTCAGTGAGGTTGCATATTAAATTTCTTTTTTTAGAGATGATAGTTGGCACCTGGATGATGAAAGCTCTTTGATGCTGTGAATGAATGGGTTTAACGTTGGTGCAGGAGCCTTTTACCTTCTTTAATCCATCCTGGTACCTTAGAAGGAACAGAGCTCCTGCTTTTGGTGGATTCCTCAGTGGTCCCTAGGCATGTTTTCTTAGGAGGGCAAACTAATCCTCAGAATAAGAGCAGGAGAATATTTAGCAGATAAAAGCTGGTTTGTGTTCTGGTCCCTCCTTTTATAGGTATCAGGACTGGAAAGTGGCTTGCTTACATAGTGGAGTGCTCTCAAGAGGAGTAAAAGTTTGTCCTTAAAGAGAAGGATACTGATTGAGTGGAAGTCCTGTTGCCTGTTTGGTGTATCCCACACCTGAAACATGGAGTACCATGGGAAATTTTACAACATCAAAATGCCAATCCTTGCAGTTGAAGTGCTCCATTCATAATGTTTCAGTATGGCATTGCTGAGCTTTTTGGTAAGCAGTGTAGAATGCTCCTGAACAGTTAAGTAACTTGAGTAATGTGCTCCCTATTGTTCTGAATTTTCTCAAAAAAGAGGTACAGAAGAAAGTGGTAAATATATGTATATGTGTTTTTTTTTTTTTTTTTTCTTTTTTTCTTTTTTTCTAGCATTAGAGTGCTCTCTATTCCTGAGAGTTATCAGAACTCAACTAGTTGTATTCAAGGAGACAAAACTAACTGCCCCTTGCCATCTTGGTGTTCAGTTGGCGCATACTCTTCACACCGGGGTGGCTCCGGGGTCCTGGCTGCAGGTACACTGGTGCTTCTGATGTCGGACTTGTGAGTACAGGTCATGTAATCATGCGCAGGGCATGTAATAGGGTAGTGTTGGAAAATGGCTTGTTCCAAAGGAGGCCATGAAGGTGATGGAAATGTCTATCCTATGGAGAGAGACTGAGGGAGCTGGGCTTGTTCAGCCTAAAAAAAGAGAAGACTTTTTCAGGCTGAGCTGGTGTGAGCTCATTTTGGCCTTCCAGTACCTGAAGGGAGCTTATAATCAGGATAGAGAAAGACTTTTTACATGGGCAGACAGTAATAGAACAGGAGAGAATGGTTTCGATCTCAAAGATGGAGATTTAATTTAGAAGGTAGGAATTGGCTGCGGTGTTCCATCCCTGGAGATGCTCCAGGCCATGGATGGGCCCTGGGCAGCCTAATCTGGGGAGGGAATAGACAACCCATGGAGAGGTGGGGCCGGGGGGCTCTAAGAAGCCTTCCAACCCAAATGTTCTTTGATTTCATGATTGACTTCTTCAGATATGCTCAAACAGGAGCACAGTTGTATTTCAGCAGAAAGGAAGGATGTCTCTGGATATGACTGAAGGTGACTAGAGACCCTTGTGCAAATGAAGTTTTAGTGTGCTTGAGACTCTGGGAAATAAAATGTAGTGTAATTTTTTTTTAAATAAATGGTCAAAGAGAAATTTTTTTTTTTTTTTTCTTTTGTTTTTTTTTCCCCACAAATGTCTGTTCAGACAACAGGTGTGCCTTTACAAGAGGCACACAGTGCAACACAGGTGTTGCCTCTGACTGTCTGGCAGCACTGCTGTGCTGTGCAGGTGGCAGAGTGCTGGCACAGCGACTGGAGATGCTGTGGGGTCTCCTCCTGGGAGATCTCTGAAGCTGAATGGATGCTGAACACCCTGCTTTGGGTGGCCCTGTTGGGGCCTGGCTGGGCCAGATGTATCCAGAGGTCCCCACCTGCCTCAGCTGTGCTGTAGTTCTGAAGGATCTTGGTCGTTGATTTGTAAATAAGAGCTTGAAGCTTTTATTTGAAA